TTTCTGTATTTTGATGAAATATCAAATATAAAAGTTAAATTGCCTGTATCTTACCAAGCATCTTTGGGGACATTTGAGCTTAGCGGAAATAAATAATTGCAGAGTAAAAAGGCTATCTGAGATGATGGATGCTCAAGGGAGTGAGAATGGATTTTTCACTGCCAGGTCGCTGGCTTGAAGTTGACCCATTTCAGTGGAGGCTAAATGAGGTTACCTTCTACTCCTTGCTGGCTGTGTGAAATTTGTTTGTGGATTAATGTAGTTCTGCATAGATTTGCATTCAGGATGCAGAAACGACATGATATCCACTTAAAATTTCAGAAGAGAAAAATAGGTGCTTCTAGAGACTTTGCCATTAGACTAACATTTTAGCTGAAAATGCAGATAGTAAGTAAGTAATAGCAATAGAGTGAAGCCTGTATTGCCTTGCCTCCATGTGGGCTCTGTAGATCAAGGGCTTCATTTTGTCAGTGTATTCACAGATTACTGCAAGTAATGTTTATTTATTTATTTTTAAATATACCTATTTAAATCCAAGGAGAAATTCTATAATTATCACTGAAGAAAACTGCTTCCATAAGCAACAGCTGCAGAATTGGATCCTTAGCAAAATTTATGCTCAAAACAAATGTTTATAAGTCTGTAGAAAATACAGACTGTATTTTTTAATTAAAACAAATTTGAGAAAAAAAATGTTACCTGTAATCCTAAGGAAAACGTTCTCATAATTTATTCATTAGGAAGATACCTTTCAGATTTTCAGTTGTGAAGTAGGCAATTGTTAAAATGGAACATAGCCAATGACTGATCTTTTTTTAACTGCTTTTTCCCTTTGGTTAAATTCCTGAAATATTTATTCAAGTTAGTCTGTGTAATATAGTCTATGCTAAGCAAGATATCCATGGTTTATTTGTGCGTACACTCTATTCTGCTATTAAGTAAACATTTTGTTTGGCTTCTTAATACCATGGTGACCATTTCGCTAGTTAGTATATGTTCTAAAATTGGAGCAATACTAGAAAGACAGTTATACTCTCCCTCACTCCTCATGCTATTACAACAGATGTGGCAGGAATGAAAAAACTTTTTTTTTTTTGCACTCTATAGAAACTACAGAAAATCCGCTCCAAAGTCTCCTTAGTGTGTATGTGCCTTAGTGTTGTGTAAGCAATAGAGTTCGAAACTTTTGGCAAGAAATACTCAGCAGTGAAATGGTGCTGTTCAGCTAGAGAGGACTAAGATAAGGACAAAGACTAAAGACTGTCAGTAGCCCAACTGTTGTCACAACACTGACACCAGAGACTTTTGATACTGGTTCAGAAGAATTGTAACCAGTTATTTTTAAAACATTTAAGGGAGAGACTGACACTAGAAGATATAACGGAGAGACTGAGAATGAGATAAATTAAAATGCTTACTAGATATTTTAAAAATTGAACAGTTTATGCCTGCAAACTGCTCACGTGAAGAATTTCAGGGTTGGCTGCTCCATGAAATAACTTCCTGTGAATTCTGTTGTAATGTCTGTTTCCACATTGCAATATGAGAATGAATGGAAAAATAATGCTAAATAGAACTTGAAAATGATCTATGACCTGAAGTGCTAAAAATGGTCTCCCTGTGATTTCAATGGCCTCCACCACCAAGGTATAGGAAAGACTTAAGACAGATGCAGTAAGAGGAAGGAAACATCAGAGTGCTGATGAGGGATGTTTTGAAACCAAGTTCAAAACACAAATGTTGTTGTTAAATTACCATAACTGTGACAGAGTGGTCCCAAAAGGAGTTACTGTTGTAGATTAACTGGTTCACCTTGTTGTCCATCTTGGCTTATAGAATTGTTATTTTCCTCTGCATAAGTAGATTTTATCTGGTCTTCTTAATCACAGCTGAGTTGACATACCCTATCCATTTCATCAAAATAAGGTTTTTGGCTATGACAAGTAGGAACAAGATTCTTAAAGCAAATGAGATGCCCAGTTCCAGTTGGATTATTTCACTCTCTCTCACGGTCTTGTTCTTTCTACACCCATAGCCATGAAATTCACTTCATTGCTGTCATTAGAATGTGTATGAATGCGCTCTAAGCACACTGTAAGACTCCTGGATCAGGTAGAACAAAGGTAACTGTATAAGCAAAGCTCACATTTGGAACATTTTCTTTATCTGATCATACAGAACAAAATTTAAATAAACATTTAAATTTGTTGGCTAATTAGATAAATACTTTTCAGTAGCGTGCAATTGACATTGACTATTTGAGCTTTATTCATTTTAAAAGAGAAAAAATAAAAGCTGTAGCAAAACCATACCTCTAATTAAGTCATTTTAGTGTAAAAGAGTCATACGAATCATATAATCTGATCTGTCTCAAAATACAAAAAAAAAAAAGTCTATGTAATCTTGCTTTACTATATAAACACTGCTCACTCCAGAACTTCATTGTTTCTGTGGTCAGGTGGTTTTAGTATGTTCACTTTATACGCAAGGAATGGCAACACAAAGGAGACCTTTTATTAACATTCTCAAGTCCCATTTTTAAATTACTTTCATTTCTAGATGCCAAGATCACAGAGTACTTGAGAGCTGTATTTTAAATTATTAGTTGTAAAATACTGACGTATAAAAAGTAGGTTAACAAAGTCAGAATTAAAATTTTATGTGAGACAACATCAGAATCAATTGCATGTAGCTATACTCTTTAGCTGTTACAGCTGGTGCTCTACCTGAACTTTAACAGTGGAAACTTTGGTGACTCTTACAGCTACTTTGCAAGAGTGGAACTGATAAATGACTGCAAGCTTTTTTTTTTTTAATTCTATTTTTAATCTCAAATATCATTGAAGAGAAGGTGATGTGCTGTTGTATTGTAATAATAGCCCGAGAGAATTTCTTGTGCTTCATTGTGACCCCACCAGCTCTTGTTCTGTCATTGGTCACCACTGAGAAGAGCTGGTTCCTCATCTTCATTTTCTCCCATGTAACAATAATACACACTGGTAAAACCCCCACTGAGCCTTTCCTTCTCTAGGCTGAAGAGCCTCAGCTCTCTCAGCCTTTCCTCCCATGAGGAGTGCTCAGATTATTAGTGAGCACATTAAACAAGTTGCCTCAGTATCAGCCTTTGATGTACAAAATGACTCCAGCTGGACTTTGTGCAGTTGGTCACAACCTTCAGGACCCAGCTCTTTGGCTGTTATATTAATATTTTTCCTAAGCACCTCTGTAGTCTATTAGAACACAGGATACTGGGCTAGATGGACCTCTTATTGCAATCTCTCCACTCTTGTTTCAAAAACATTGATGAAACATATTTTTAAAAGACGTACCTCCAGGATCACCTTCCCCTCCCAGCCCCAGCAAGAAAAAACTGTAATGAAGGAATGGTCTATAATCATATTCCAAGCACATAATGAAAACCACTTGGACAAAAATGCTCTTTTCTTGATATTAAAAACATAGGACAGCAATAATTCTGTGATGTCAAGAGTCTCCCGGCAAAAAAAACCAAACACACACACACACACACACACACACACACACACACACACAAAAAAAAAAAACAAGAAAAAGCAAAACAACCCAAAGATTACTTTAATATACAATTATTATTTGCTTAAAGTTCATTCAAAGTACCCGTATTTTTCACATGGCTTTGACAGTCTTAACCCACGCTTTGACAATCCTAACCCATTAACGAAGTCTATAGAAAGAAATATATGTTCTTCTGAATTGCCTTGTTAGCATATTTTTCTCTAGGATTCATACGGAATAAATCAACGCAAGTTTTCTTACTTTGCTTCAATATTTGCATGTGTTGCATTAACTCATTGTGAACATCTATGGTCACATGTCACGTGCCATTCTATTATTCTTTTCTGGCATAAAAGACAGAACATTTAAAAATATATTATTAAAAAAATCATCAAAAGGAACAACCAGCTTTGATCCTCACATCTAATTAATTGCACATTGCATAGATTTAGCTCATACAAATATGGGATAGTTACTGTATCGTAAATAATAACAATGCATGAACAGTTGTTTGTTTTTTTCATCTTGCCTTACAAGTGGAAAAAGACAGACACCTACATTTCAAACATCAGGAGAGAGGCTAAAGCATGCTACATCTGACCTCTTAGTTATTCACATTACCTAGGGTTTGAACAGCATTCCTCTTCCAAGGGCTTTTCAGTAATTTGGCTTATAAGCAGGTAGCGCATCTATGCACTTCTCTAAGCATCATTTGTGAGTCAATACAGATGCTTTCACATATCAAGGAAACATGAGCAGGTGCAATTTATAAAGCCTGATATACCAAGACCCACTCATTAAACTATATATCTATACAGCAATTGATGTGTATTGATACAATTCCTTTACAATATGTGAAAACCTTAAGGACAGATGACCTTACTTAGAATCATAAGGTACATCACAAAGTTCTTTGATCTAGGTATAAAGTGAAGCATAACAAACCTCCTTTTTAATGAAATTGTTAATGGAACTACCAAATGCATTTCAGATCTTTCATTGTACATAAAATGCTGTGACATATGCAGTGTTATTCACACAAAATGTATATTCACTTTTTTCAATTACTCTTCAACAAAATCCCACTGAACACAATAGAAATGAATCGTCCACAGTAAGTGAAATTTTACCTTTGGTTACACAGCAGTAACTCATTGATTTTGCAGAGTATGATTTCACAGTGAATGAATCACTGAAAATGTCTGCTGATCTATGCTCTCAATGTGTTTGAGAGTTTGTGCATATGTACATATAACTCATACAACTCTTGGAGGTCTCTCTACTCTGCAATTTCCCTGGGATGGCAGACATTAGGAGAGTAAAGGCGCACATTTTCCCAGCAGGGATCAAAGCAGAAAAATAGCACTACTTAGATAACCTTTCTGCCAGGCTCCCTCTACAGAGGAATTCCAATGTGAACATATTTCCCAGGGCTGCATCTCCTCCCTCTCCCTGCTTAACTGTTTCTACACTAGTGGTGGTAAGTAGAAGCTGCAATGAAAGGTGAAACCAAAATGTTTTGATGCTGGGGGCTTTGATCCTTCCTGCTTTTTTAGGATCTCTCATATCTGAAGCCCTCAATTGAGTTCTGAGAAACTTCTGGGAGGAAGGATGGTCTTAAAGTGTTTTCATTCCTTTTTTGCTTCTGCAGTTTTTTTCCCACAGAAGGGCGTATTCAGATTCCTAAAGAAGGCTTTGAAAAGGATCCAGAGAGGCAATCACATGCATGTGCAGCTATTTTTTTCACAGGCAAGAATATATGGAATGTGAATGGAGTTTCAGCATAGCTCTGTGAGTGTGAGTATGAATTGAAACTCTGTGGGCAAAATCCATTAACTTCTAGGTAAATTAATGTGCATATAGCCATTGAATTGCTAAATTTATATGATTGAAAGCAGGAAAACCTGTCTGCATTTGGTTGTTAATACAATGTTTAATTAGAATGAAGATCTTTACAAGTAAGAAATAGCACAGAATAACACAGGCTTTACAGTATCTCTAGAACATGATTCTGCCAAATACAGGATTTCTGAAGAGAGAAATGAATTAGTCATGTTTTCTTGCACAAATAGTAATATCTGAAGTATTTCTAACCACAGATTTATCTGAAGTAGGAATACATATTTACCAAAGACTAGGCAATATATTCCTTCTCACCAGGGGAAAAAGATGTTAATTGACATCTGTGCAACTGAAAGTTTTCAAAATGAAAATCAGATCTGTTTGAACTAATTTACACATTCAATGTAGCTGGTAGAAATTAGAATTTTTGCTCTGCCTTTTTGCCTATAATTTTGTTATTTGTTATCCTCCTGTGTAAAAAATTTCAGCTCATCCAGTAATACAAAAAATGCAATATTAACTTAGTGACTACTGGCTGGGAGACTGACCCAGAAGTCTTGCAAAAAAAAAAAAAAAAAAAAAAAGCTGCTTATGCCAGCAGTTCTTAGACTGCAGATCCATATGCAGAACCTACAAATAAGGGATTCAATCACAGCAACTCAGATTGGTTATTGGATAAGACAGAAGAAATGTATTGTATGTTCACTGGATACATTGTTCACTGTGAAAATAACACAACAGTTTGTAATTTATTGCTTGCACAGTTGTTTTAAGATAAAACATTTATCTTCTGTTATTTTTGTTACTGTAATTGTATTTCCAGATTTACTTCCTAGGGCTGCCCTCTATGCCTGTATTTGACAGCCTAACTATAATGTCATAATTCTTATAGAAATTTTACTAGTTACTTCTCCTTAACTGAATTTTAATTTTGAATCTGAGACTTCAAAATGTAAAGAATATGTTTTTTCCTATCCATATATAAAGTTATTGGAAGTAAAAACATGCCCTTTGTTTTTATGCCTCTCTCTGAAGAACATACACTCTCAGTATTTAGAAAAGTACACTAATGTTGTTGTTTGAAGAATGTTTACTGGATGTAGTTCATAGGGCTGCAAGCAAAGCAAGACCCATTCATGTTGGGTTGACTTCTGTTTGGCATGACACAATTGCTGTGTTTGTGGTATCTTTATTTAAACTTCATTCCTCTATGAGGAGCAATGGCTTCTGTATTTCTCAGCATCACTGTACCCCAAGGGTGACATATCTCTCTGATTCTTAGAATGTTCTATTTCAGATGTTATATCCTACCTCTGAATACCAACTTGCTAAGGAAAATATCGCCATATTATCCACAAGAAACTGAAGTTGCATCAGGTTGATTTTCACCTTCTAAGTTACTCAGGCACAGTATGACATTATACAAACTGAAAACAAAGGGCAAAATCCTGCCTGCTCCTAAAGAGATGTCATTGAGGGAAAAGAAAAAAGCAACATAAGAAAACCAAATAAGTCCCATCCCTCTCACATTGCTTTCATAGATATCTTAAAGGCAAGGCTTTCATTTTACTGCCACTGAGAATAAAATGTTTCCAAGAAGCATGACATGCAGATAATTTGCCCTTTGCTTTGCAGCTCAAGTATATAAAATGAACAGTTCACAATTTCTTGGTCTCATCTGATTTACAGAATGTTGGTTAAATATTTTTAATGTTTGCTTTTATTTACATATATATTTTCAAGTTTTAGCTATTTCACTGTGCATTCTAGGCTCAGATTTCTAAACAGGATGGGACAATCTGTCTTCACATTAGATGTTTTCTTTTAAATGGAAATTTTTTAGTCTGTGTTTCCTTTGAGGCTGATATTTTTTAAATGCCTGCATTTTTCCAAGTGCTCTAGGTCACCTATTTGCTATGGAGATGATCTAGGTTGAGCTATAGTAAGTGAGCAATGTTGGCAGCAGCACTTCAGAGACAGCGCATGTCTCTACAGAATGTTGCAAAGTATGCCTGTATGCATAAGTGACTGGGGAGCTCTGAAGAGAGAGAACACGGAACTTAAGAAAACTGGAGGACCGTAAGAAGTTAAATATCTCCAGTCTTCTGAGTTGCTTAAAAAAAATAATCTGTAGAGATCCTAATGGGTCTCATTTTCCAAAGGTGAGGGTGTGGGGGGACTAACAGCTGGTTAATTGTTAGTTGGGGTAAAACAGGTATCTTTTTCATCTGCTTCTTTCTCTACAGCACAACATAGATAAGTGGTTTTCTTCATTTTTTCCTTAGATTTTTTTTTTTTTAAGTTTTCAAATTCACTGCTGTAGCTCTGCTCTCCTTTAAAGGTTATATTGTATTGTACTCACTCTCCTCTGCATTCCTTTTAAAAGCTTATCTTTTCCACTAAAACACACTGTGACATCTTGAAGAAAAGATTTTGCAAATTTTTATCTGTTGCTTTAGTAGCTATCTTCAGACATCGAAATGTAATCTTCTGTTTGTCCCTATCAAGAACTATGTCCTCAATACATAATACTACAGAATGAAAATGTCCCAACAAATGCTTTGAGACAATATTCTGGAATATTGTTTCACACATCAGCATTTTAATACAGTCATAATGTTGTATCTTGCAGTTGCAGGAACAGGCAGTTTCATGGTGATAATACTATTACAAACTTAGAAACTGCAGAAATTTTAAAGTTTTCTGTTGAGCTGCAACACACCATTAAGTAGCACTGAGTTAGTAACTGATGTTTTGTGCTAAGCTTGACTTTCCCACATCCCAACATTTGCCCATTTAATGCAAGGATGAATTGACACTGTGCTTTTACATCTTTAGCATACAGATAGTAAGTGCCATACGCAAAATTTTCAGACAGCTCTGTCTCAAGAAAATTAAACTCCTTTCCTTTTCCTTCTCTTTTCATGTCTGTGTTCATTTTAGCTTAACCATACATTTTATATTTGAATGGAGCAATGAGTTTTTTCTTTGTGCATATCTTCACCTCCCCCATCAACATTTCATATATTTGTATATCATCAACCATCTCCTCATTAAGTTTCTTTCTAATATAATACATTCTACTCCTGACGATCTTAGATGAGACCTAAACAAAGCCTTGCATAATGAGATCATTATCTATCAAGGTTTAAATTTTTGTTAATTCAGAACCTGCAACAGCATATAATGCTTTTACATGGGAGGAAAGCTAAAGAGAGGGATAGGCAGTTAGACTAAAGATGTTAGAAACAAATAATAGAAAAAAACAGTGACAAAAAAAAAGAAAAAATCATTGCAAATATAAATTAAAGCAGCTCCAAGTTACTACTACACACTGATATCTACTTGTAAGAACTGAAGATTCAGATCTGTGACTATCAAATCCATATACACAGGTCTCATACTACTGCCTGTGTTGGAACACATTGAATATTTAAATGCTTACTACAGTCCTTGACACTGAAAGGCTCTATTGTGCATCACAATCCCAAACAACAGAAATGATATTGCTAGCAGTTCCTGTTCCCCTCTCTGCTGATTTACAGTAGGATGTTTCTACACCACACCATGCAGTGCTAGATCAAAGATGTCTCACTTAACATGGTCATACAAATAATGCTCCACAGATTGAGGTTAAGACATTATCAAGCAGATAAGAAGATGTGCAACTTTGCTCCAAGTTATCACTGAAGGAATTTGACCAACAGAAGTGTAATACTATAGCATGATGGAAAGTACAGCAATAGCGGAGTGGCACAATCCCAGGCTTCAGCAGAGAACAAGCACAAATGCAGCATCCATAGACACAGAAACAAAACAAAAAGATTGCTTACCTTCAGAATGCCTCCAGCAGACAGAAATCTCCAGCAAAATACCTCTGCCTCACTGCCAACCTTTCAATGAGGTCTGGGAAGGGTGGATCCCTAAACCTTCCAGTCACTCAGGTCTATTGCATGCATCTGAGCTCCCCTGGGTTGGCTCTGCCTTGCCACCAGGTGCTCAATCACTCTTTCAGGCCATGATTTAGCATTTCTGATACAGAAAGCATCATGTTTTCTCTCCATTTCATTTACATACAGGGCTAAGAATGGAGGGTGCGAATCACGTTGGTGGAGCTACCTCACTTTTAGTTTAGGAGCTTCTGTAGCTGATGCTAATTAGGTAACTCTAAGCAACATGGTGTAGATAAACACAGATGTTCTATAGTTGTATGTCACTCCTTAGTGGACAAAGGTGGTTGAAAGTTCCATGAACAACATGTTACAAAGGCTCTTTGGTTTTCATTCCTTTTATATTTTCATCATTCTGTTGACAGTGCCTGTTGACGAACTGTTGTGTTATCATAAATGAGGGAACAGTGTCATGGTGGGGGCTTGTGAACTTCTAACTTCATCACTTAAGAAAAAAAGTGTACTATCTATAGGAAGCTTAAATTCACTGGTTTCCTAGCTGTCTCAAGTAATCTTAATTAATTCTTACTGAAACACCTGAACATATGATTGCAATGAAGAGAATGACAACTGGGATAGAGGTCAAAGAACAAGGCAAGCACACACCTGAAAATCAAATGCAAATGCCTTCCCCAAACTGGTGAAGGAAGAAAATTCAGATCTCCCAAATTAATTCTATCGTCATTGTTGTAATCCCACTATTCCCTTTTGTCACAAAAATGAATTTAATCTAGTTCCACATTTGTTTTTGCTTTTTCCTAGAGAAACAAATTCTAAAGAAGATTCTCCCCCCTTTCGCACCAAATAGCTTGTCAGTTGAATATCCCTTCAGAACAACTGGGGTTTCATCTTGAGGAAAACAGTCTTTAACTGAGAAACTCCAAGCTGCTACATAAATGCTTTGCCTCATTGTATAATCAATGAATATACAGATGCCATAATTAAGAAATACACAGGAAAGTTAAGCTAAACAGGTTCTCACACTAAAGAAGAATGGATAGAAAG